TTGTCTTACATATATAAAATGAAAATGTAGAATGAAAATACTGTTTCCTGTATTGTCTTACACTACATAGCAGTGGTGGCCCTAATGCTTGGTAGCTGGTGGGGCTGCCAGCAGGCAGGTGCAGTGTATTTTCTCTTCTGATGTGTGACGATGCTGGGTTTGGTGCTAGTGTTTGTGCCATTGGTGACTGGCCCAAGAGGGAAATAAGACTCAGAATGATTTTAGCAAGGGTAGATTTCCACTGGGGACAGACCCCACTGCCCCCAAGGTAAGAGCTGCTACCCGCTACACGTTAGGACTGAAGGGTAGGTCTACAGACAGTTGAAGAGCCTCTGAAACCCAAGGATGGAGGAGACCTCCTCACATTCAGAGTGGCTGAAGATAGGAGCTGTCTGAATGAGCATGGTTGTGTGAAGGACTCATGGCAATTTCTCATGAAGAGGGAGATAGGGAACAAAATGTTGGTGAGGCTTTGCAGGGGACTGACTGCTAATGACTGAAGACTCAGCTAGGCGAAGGTTTTGGGTTAGGGTAACCTTAACCCTAAGCCTAACTCCTACTTTAACAGTATTTTCATGTCACCTATTGATGAGTAACCATAAATCATTCTGGCTCTTCTAGTATCTGTGAGTCTTAATGGATCTTAAGACATTTAGGACCCACGCATTTGTCCCCAGTGTGCCCCAGAGTCCTCTGTTTGCTCTCCATGGCACACTAGGGCCCTCTGTTTGGGCTTTGGTCATCTTACAACCCCTCAGTTTTCCACTGTATCCCTCTGTTAGTTGTTTAAGCCCAGCTCTTCAGTCCACACTCCTCTGAAACATAAGCCCAACTCCTAACCTTTGTTTGAGCTGAATAATTATGGAATGAATTTCAGCTGGGAAGTGGTAATGACTGAATGACCATCAGGAAAAATTGCACTGCCTGAAAGTGCTGCCAAAGCTCATCCCTTAGGGGTTTTTGTCATGGCTCATGTGAGTATATAATTAGGAGATCTGACTCTCAGGTACACAGAGGGTCTTTTATATACTGGTACCTGTATCAACCACATAAACCCCTCTAATTTGGTTTATAAATCCTAGGTTGTTGAGTTTTGTTTAATGAATGAATTGCAAGTTCTTTGCAGGTTGCCTTCTGCTTCCAGGAATTAGAGGTACAAGGTGAAATTATTCAAAGGCTCAAAGCAAAATGATAAAAAGGTAACACTGCTAGCTTGGTACATACAGGATATTTGAAAGTGTTAGTACATTCAATTTACATCCGCTGCAAGGCTGTTCTGTCCCACCAGGTTAATGTATGAGAGAAATTTTTTAGGCTAAATTATTATTCATGTCACACTTTGCTGTATATTCAGTTTAGATTGAGACTAACAGAGTCTATATTGCCCATCATGTCTTTATGGTTGATACTAATTTCTAGTCCCAAGATCTGTTGGGGTTCCACGCTTTGTTATTGTAGTCCCCTTGTTCAATACCTGAATAGTTAAACTGATTCAGAAATAGCCACTCTATCTCTTGGCAGCATGTGATATAAACACTCTAATGGTCAGCAGGTGTGGGGCTCCCCTGTGCTATTCAACCTTCCTGTTACTCCTGAAGTCACCAAGGATAAGCTGTGTTTGTGATCTATTCCTCTCAAGACCAGATTTCACTCTGCTGCTCTGGCCATGTAGATGATGACTGATGGTGCCCCAGGGACTAGTCATGGAGGAGGTCCTGCGTGCATGTGAGAGTGGTTTCATAAGCCACCCACCCCGTGGAGACATGGGGGCCAGGGCATCCCTGATTTTGGATTGCATTTGTGCAGCAGACTGAGTGGGCTACAAACCCGGGTACCTGGTCAATCTTGACATGTTAACATGTTCTTACAATGACCCTTCTCATTACTCATATGCATAGCTCATCCTATGGGAAAGGAACAGGTTTTTTTCTCTTTCAGAGGTAGCTTGAAATTTCTGGTCCCATAGCTATTGAATGTAAGGTGGATTACAGCTTAAGCCAACAAAAGCAATTAGAAGTTGCTTTTATTTCACTCTGTTTCTTTCCTAACTTTATTCTGACCCTCCCTTTGGGGTCATTTATTTCTCACATTAGTTAGTAGTTTCTCCCATTTGGGGATTTGGTAGTTTTAGTGAAACATCTAAAGGAGAAGACCAAGCAAACTCTCTCCTTTTTTGGCTAAGAATGTTTGTTCTGCTAATAACTGAATATAAAAACAACCTAATACTTGGGGCAAAAGCAGGGGACATCCTCAGGGGACTTTTCAAAGAGTTTATCTGCTCCTAGGCCTGTTTGAACTTTTCAGGGGAGACTGTTTAAATCTCAAGAACAGATTTTCACTTTGCATGGCTGGGTTTTTTTTTGTAAAATAATCTCAAGATACAGTTTTTACCAAGACGAATGGATGTATGAGACTAACACAATGATGTGGCTATTTTCTTTGCTCTGTGGTTTCTTTCTTTCTGTCTATTTTCTTCATTCTGTGAATTAGATTTCTTCCCTCCCTCCCTTCCATTTTTCCTTCCTTCCTCCCTTCCTGCCTTTTTTCCTTCCTCCCTCGCTCCCTCCCTCCTTTCCTTCCTTCTCTTTTCTATCTCTCTTTCCTCCTCTTTCTTTTTTCTCACCTTCTATCTTTTTTCTCTTTCTTCCTTTCTTTTTTCTCTTTCATTCCCCCCTCTGTTTTCCTTGTTTTCTTGTTTCCTCATATTAAAAAATATATGACAAATTTATGAATCAGCTTGTATTATTTTAGATAGCATTTGGCAGCACAGTTCTAAATTTGAGATTTTTCGTTCTTCAGATCTCATCATCCTCAAATAGATTTCCTACTCGCTTTGTGCTTGTTTGTTTAAACTATGTCTCTTGGTATTGTAGCAGCTCAGGACAACTTTCCATATACTGCCATTCAGTTCCCACAAGAGTTAACTCCCAGGCTTTCAGCTAGATGACTTGCCAGTTACTGAGTGATGCCATTTGAAGCACAGCCTCAGATGATGAGCCTGGGGCCCTTTGCTTGGCATGCCTCAGACATTTGGAGCAATGGGAGAACTGCACGCTTCTTTTTGAGGGAGTCATGGTCGGAGTCACTATTTGCTTCCCCTCCTTACCAAAGGCAAATGGTTGGAGAAGGTAACCTTCAGCTTCTTCAAGGAAGTTCTTCAATAGCTTCAGGGAAATCTGAACAGACCATGGATGTATCTGGAAGGAGAGGACTCTTTCAATTCTCATCTCTGGATGCTCTCACATGGGAATGACCTTAGTAAGTCCAGAACTTTTTCCTCTTCATTTTACTCTCCAGACAGAAATACCCCATTTATACAGAGATATGAATTAAGAACTTTCTTGAGTCTTTTTGTACTGTTCTTTTTTTTCCTTTCCTATTTGTTTTAACACTTGAAGTAGCTTCTCCTCTCCATTTCTCCTGTGAAGCTTTACTACACTTCCAGCAGCACAGTGTTTGAGCACCTTCCCTCTGCAGTTTTTGCAGAACACTGCTTTTGAGAGGCTTGCCATCCATTCTGGTCACTGCATTTACTTGTTGCATTCACACTCACTTCTCTACCACGTTTCCAGCTATGTTATTTGTTCCCTCTGACTGAGTCTCAGATGGTGGCACAGTCAACATCCAGGTGGGATCATCATTAACATGTTTGTGCAGGTTTAAATGCCAGCAAGCCCTAAGGCTTCCCAGGTTGTTTACTGAATGCTCTTTTTTAGACTGTGATATTGTGTCTTAAGCTATTTTGAACCCAGGAAACCCAGGGCTCATGAGAGAAGATTTATGACTGGGGTGAATGGCTCTGTTTAAATAATCATTGCAAAAGGTAGCCCCGGTAAAACTTCTTTACTTTGGGTTTGATGTTCTTAACTGCTTGAGGATATGGGTAAATTCCCATTATGGCATATTAATGAAGAAGGCTGCTTATGTGGATGAACCAAGTCAGCTGGGCAAGCTTACTGCCAACAGTTAGTCCCTGGTAACATCAGTAATCAGCAAGGGTCCTGAATGTGACTCTGTATCATCGCAGGGCAGCTGGGAAGTTAACAGGGAAGGGGACATGAAATACTCATATGGAAATCAGCTGAAGCCAATGCTGCTAATTCTCTGTTATGAGATAAAAGATGACATACAAAAGGAGAACTTGTTCCATAACTCGGCAAAACAACAGTTATAACCATTGTAACAATGACAGAGAACCTGAACAACTACTTCTCCTTGTGATGGGTTGGATTTGTAATGTTTGCAGGATATTGCAGTTGTGCTAAGTGCTCAGAGTGTGTAAACATGGTTAAATTATGTTATGCTATGATCAATGACACTTAAAGCTGGTCAAAAATGACTGTCTCAAAACAGTGGCATTTTGCTTTCCCTTCACCTCTGTACTTGGAGGGAATACAATGCTGAGTAACTATGTATTATTTTTACTTATTTAAAGCCCCTCCTGGAAAAATGACATTGGTATCAATTTAGGAAAAAAAAAAAACCAAACGAAGAAAAAAAGACTTGTGAGCCAAATTCACTTGAAATACACGTTTAACTTAAAATTAATCCCATTAGCTTCAACGGGAGCTGAATAGACCTGTCTGGGAACAATTTAGGGCTGTAACAAGAACCACCAATGTTATCTGTGACCACTATATCATGAAACTTTGCAATGTGATGGAGACGTTGCATGTCCAAGAGCTCTTTGAGGGTATCTCTTTTGCTGTGGTTTAGCACTCATATGATGAACCCTGTAGAGAAGAAAGCTCAGGATTTCTGCTAGCATGATGGGCTTAGCAATCTTTAACATTGCCAAGAGTAGTTCCAGCTGGGTTTCAGCTAGCATCAGTATATGAAACCTGGTTTTGCTTTTGCTAAGGCTTTCAGATATGACCAGAATATGAGGGTCCACAAAACAGAAAGAAAAAGGGGAGGGGAGGAGCACACAATGCTCACAGTATATTTTTATACATATTTACAGAAGGAAGAGCTGTGCTATCCAAACTTGAGCTTTCCCCATGGATGAGTCAAACATAACGTTTCATCCCAGCGAAGGCACAGAGAACATCTCAATGCACAGAAACATTTCTACACAGGAAAGGGTCTGGGAGATATTGACCCCACTTTGGGTAATTATGATCATCTCCTTCCTGGGTTTTTGTGAAAATGGAATTGTCCTCTGGTGCCTCTGCTTCCAGATCAAAAGAAACCCATTCACTGCGTACATCACACACCTGTCCATTGCTGACATCTCCTTACTGATTTGTACATTTATTCTGTCAATTGATTACATTGCTGGTTTTGGATTTGCATATGGTTTTTACTATTATATAACCACCACACTATCTATTGTCTTCCTTCTTGGATATAATACTGGTCTCTATCTCCTGACAGCCATCAGTATTGAGAGGTGTCTGTCTATTGTTTACCCCATCTGGTACCGATGCCACCGGTCACAGCACCAATCGGCAATTGTGTGTGCAATTCTCTGGACTCTGTCTTTTCTGATGACAGTAGCTGAATACGTAACATGCAAAGATGATTCACCAAAGGAACAATTCGACGATGGCAACCATTGCCAGGCACTGCTCATCTTCACATGGATCCTGACTTTCATGATCTTCATTCCTCTAATGATTCTGTCCAGCCTGATCTTGGTTATCAGGATTCATCGTAACTCCCTGAGACCTCATTCGTCAAAGCTCTACATCATCATTGTGGCCACAGTCATTGTCTTCCTCATCTTTGCCATGCCTATGAGGCTGTTGTATCTTCTCAATTACCACCACTGGTCGTCTTTGCTCAGCCAGCAGAACCACGTCACCATTGTTCTCTCCACCGTTAACAGTAGCATCAACCCCCTTGTTTACTTCTTCGTAGGAAGCAGCAAGAAGAAGAGGTTCAAGGAGAGCCTCAAAGTGGTTCTTAGTAGAGCACTCGCTGATGGGTTGCGGCCGAGAAGCCAGGAAGTTGGCATGAGTTTGGATATAGCTGAAACAATTTTCTAAAGCTTAGGGGGGAAACTCTAGGGGCTAATAATTGGACTTAGAAGGTTTAATAAACCACTGCAAAACTAAAAGTATTTTTCTTCCATAGAATGTAAAAAGCAGTGGTGAAATGGTACTGTTATCTTTGGTGGTTGAGCAATGGAAAATTATGGACTAGAATAAAGATAACTTTTATTTGTATTTTCTTAATTATTCAAACACATGCTACATCCTGATGTGACTATGTCAGTCAAAGATACCACAGTGGAAAAGAGACAGGCCAACAGAGAATATAAAAAAAGGACACAGAAATATGTTATAAATAGTGTGACGTTTATACAAGCACTGAGCTCCCATAAATGCTATTGAAGTCATCAGGGCCTGTGTGTATTCACATTTTTAAAAGTCAAACCCACTAAACGCAGGATTCATGTTACATACTGGGATTTAGTTTTGACTGTTTCCAGCTTGTTTAAGTGCGCAAAAGAGCTGCTCCCCGGGGGGAACAGAGGAAGAAATCCACGTATGAGAGTAAGTCCCCGTACATACCCACAAACATAAAGTGTAGCTTTGGTCTGGCAAGACATTTAAGTATACACTAAATGGTCAAGTTCCTCTGTGGTTAAGGGGCTACTTCAGAGGCTCTTTCTAAAGTATATGTTGCGTAATTCCCATTTCTCTGGGTCCTTGGATAATTTGGTACCTGACACATAGGAGTAGCTGGCAACATAGGGATGTTGCCAACTCACAGAGAACTTTTGCCCTAATTATGAAGGGTGGGGCTGGCTTATCCCCAAAATGTCAGTGTTCCTGTATGTTTAGTTATTCAAGGAGTCTGTGAGAAAGTCAGTCCCAACACTTGCTGTCCCAGCCACGTATTCAGTACTTAGCTGTTCTCTGCAAAATAGATATTCCCTGTGTGGTCTATTTTATAACAATCGGTTTTGGATGAACAGAAAAAAAGAAAGGTGCCTCACACAAAGCACAACTGGGGCTACACCCCAGCCACACCATTCCAGCTGACTGCCTCCTTCTGTTGTATGCCAGGGTACCGGGGCTGGTATTTTGTGGTGTTTAATTCCCAGGGCCACTTGCCCAACTATAGCCAAACTGCAGAGCAGAGAGGAAGATAACAGCAAGGAGAGGGACAGGGCTAGGTCAGGTTTATCACACAGACACAGAAGGTGGGGGGTCTGGGCAGTCAGAGAGCTGTGGCACTTTCAAAGAGGCATCTGGGAGACGCATTTGCTTCTGGCCCCCATGGAGCTCCAAATTCAGCAGGGCAGAAGCAGTATCTTCAGCTACCCGCCAAGTTTCCATTGGCACACTTAATAGCTAACTGGGGAAAGAAAAATACAACCTACCCCTCCTTTGTTGAAAGGTTGCCAGTCCTGGAATAAGGAAGATGGTAGGTTAAGACTGAGGATCGGATGGGAATTCACATAGAGAAGAGATCTCAGAACGACAAATATTCCTTCTATGCATGTGCCCTTTTCTCCTTACATTAAAGTGTTGCAGTGTGTCACTGCAGAAAAGACTCAGGAAAAGGAAAGGTTACTCTTATATCTTCCTAATTCCCTCACTCCATCGAAACCTTTATCTATGACAGCCCCTCTATTTGCCCCAGTTTTTCTCTTTGAAACTCTAGCCCCAGGCCAGTCACCTCTATTGATTCAGGTGGTAGACGAGTGCAGTTTGCTTCTCTCTTTGGGCAGTGATCTACTGTACTGCTGGAATGAAAAATCAGCAGAGAAGCTTCCCCTTGCTTATGGTAAGTGCAGGATACGGCAAGCAGGGCTGTGGACACCTTGGGAGGGTCACGGGGAATGAGTGTGTGGGATGTCCACATACATGTGGCATGTGTGTGCATGCACCTGCTGGGGGCTGGGGGACCATCAGGGAATTTGTCAACACTGATAAATGCCTTAAACTTGAATACTAGGGGAGATC